GCCACCTCCTGCAGCCGCTAGTGACCTGCTTCCCTCTATCCCTTTCCCAAAGGACGCTGCTTGTCCTGTCATCCTGTCCTTTCCTCCATCTTGGAACATCTCCCTCCCTTCCAGAAGGGTTTATCCCTCTCCCAGTTGCCTTACTAATACTTTGCCATCCCAGAGGTTCGGAGATTGGAAGACAAAAGGAAGAGAAAGAAGCACAATGTGGAGAGAGGGCAATGCATCAAGGGTAGTATCAGCTCAGTCCCCACTCCTCTACTGTATATAACTCTTACAGTAAGAAAAAGAACTGACATTTTTGGAATTAGGTGTGGGAGATTTTTGGTTTTTTGGGTTTTTTTAAACATAGTCTTTGGAAGATATGATAACAATAGAATATATATTATAACTGTATGAAAAATTTTATATATACAAGCAAAAGGAGGAGATTCAAATTTAAAAAACCCCAGCCAACTAGATTTGAATGTAGAGTGCTGGCTCTTTTAGAACAGGTGTTGCAGCCTGCACTTAGCTGTAGGTATCACGTTTCACCCTGCTCAGGATGCATTTCTCTGCAGGATCACTATTCATCCATTAGAGAGAAGGACCTTCCTGCAGAGGATGACTCAGGTCACCGAAGCCAGGCTCCTACTCTGAATTATCCTTGAACAGTCCATGTCCTCTGTCCAGAGCTGGAGGTGATTACCCTTCTTATGTAGGAACCTGAGTTATGTGCATAAAGGCAGCTGGTGTGACTGCCCTCCAACATTTGTACTACAGTCCTGTTATGATGATTTCCAAATTCTAGGGTGTGTTAAGAAGTTAGAATGAACTGACTCTCTGTGGGAAGAGTCATTTAGCCACCAGACACACGTGCTTTCTTATCACAACTTCAACTTGTCTTCACAAGTGCTTTCTTATCACGTCTTCATAAGCACAACTTTACCAAGCTTAATTATAGTTGTAGCAGTACTTGAATGCCAAGTCTCTTCCTATTTCATTCCACAATGAACTATTAATTTTCAAGGAGCAGATGAAGTATTTCTTTTTGAACAAATATTTACTATTTCAAAGTAAAACATGAAGTTGTTTTTTTTTCCCCCAGATCAATTTGTATGATATTTGTGAAGATGTTTTTATATGGACCAATACAGAAATAGGTTAAAAAGAAGCAGATAATGTGTGTGTAATATGACAAAAGTATCGTGTAATAATCTGACTCAAAATACAGACTTTCTTGCAGATTTACTCTCGGTTCTTATTTTTTCTTCATTAACAAAATAGTTTGCCATGACTAGATTTTCTTCCTTCTCTCTCTTTCCCTTTCAAGTATTAAATTTCTTCCTTCCTCACCTTCCCCACAAAGTTAAGAAACAGTTTGTTTTCAGGTCTGTTTTAAGCCTCTGAACCTGCACATCAAATAAACCATACTAGTTCCTCAGTGGATGAAAGATGGAGGAGAAATTATTAATAAGCTTCTTATTGACTCAATGTGCTTCAGCAGGAACTCCAATAGTTTATTCTGTTTTATACTTGGAGATATATGCAAGGCTATTTCTGTACAACCACTGTCAAATGATGGTGATGATAGTGGTGTAAAGGAAAAGGATTCAAATCAAATGATTTACACTACTTAACACAAAAGAGCTTTAGCCTTTAAACACGCAACATTCTCCATAATATTAAGGCAAATAAACATGGACTTTCTTTTGATTGTTAAACCAGCAAAATGTTCAGCAAACCCCCTTACTTGGTCCTTGAGACTTGGCTTCCATATTGCCAGTGACTCAAATGCCAGCCTAAACCAGCAGGTGTTCAGAAATAGTTATTGTAATGGAAACTTTAGAGACTCACAGTGGAGCTCACTAAAACATAATACCATTTTCATTACTTTGTCAGCAACTTTATTTCCCACTGCAGCCATGGAAGCTCTTTGCTGGAGTTTTTTCTCCCTTGCAGCTGAACCTTGGCGTGCAGAGTGAAACATTTTGGTGGAATGTTTCAGTCTTTGAAAGGCTTTGGTCTGACTGTGTTCATGCACCTTTTGTTTTCTCTGAATGTTTGGTTCCTGAGACTTACTGGCATGAATGTTCAAAATGAATTTTAAAGATGCATATGCATGTCACCGTGGAAACTGAAGGCCCAACTCAAACAGCAGAGCTGCTGCTGGGATGATTGTGTGCTTTATCCAGCTTGGGCATGGAAGCAGTGCCATGTGAATTGTCTGAACAGCCACACAGCAACTGCAGTGGTTACGACTGGCAGAAACTTCTCTGCCATTGATCTGGTGAGGGTAAGGACATCTCGTGACTGTGAAATGATCCTAAATTAAAGCAGCTGAAAGAAGTATATTTGTGCAAACTATTAATAGAAAAGAAAGATAAAATGGACATTTTTTTGCCCTTACTCATTTGTTCAACTCAATCTCGGTCTTCAGTCCTCTGTCTTCACTTGTTGATATGTTAATGCTTTGCCTGTGGCCTCACAAGCCAATGACTGGTGAGGACTCACACTTGGCTTTGCAACTTTGTTTCAAGATTATATTTGAGAACTGTGAAAGAGAAAACATTCATATCCTGCTTGTGGAAGAAAACATTTTCTTTTGAATTTACCTCTAGTGGGATGGACGAGAAGCCAGTTGTTTTGCTTTGCAAGATATTAGTTATTGTTGTGCTCTATGGAAAAAAAAAATGCTGCAGTGAGCCAAAAGTTTCATTGTTTTGTGGCTCTTTATGGCAGTCCTGTATTCTCTGGCAGTCACCATAAGGCTAGACACTTCACAAACATCTGCACTAGAGAAACAGACTGTAGATTTGTAAGAATATTCACTGTTTGGTAAACTGAATCAGTGTAATTAGTTGATTCCTATGATATAATTCCTAGAATAGCAAAGGGGTTTTTTTACTTAGCCTAATATATTGCTCTTTGCAGTTCCTTTAATTCATAATTTCCATCAATCCATGCATATAATGCATTCCCCAAATTGATGAAGAAGTCAAAAAATATGAAGGCTTGTAGTAATTAAGTGATACAGAAAATTTTACTAGACTTGGTAGTGTAGCTGTATAGTAATTTACTCAGCATTGTAGTTCTGTAGTTGAAACTTTCTTTCTTCTGGGTTAAAGGGCTTCATTTTTTCATCACAGCTAGGTAAAGTGATAGGAAATTCTCCCCCCCCTCAACTTCAAGGAATCAACAGTCTGTACTGTACAGCCTTACAGCACCCCAGGGAAGTGGGTGAAAGAAGAAATGAAATGGGAAATATGCCCACCTTTCATGAAGTGGCACCTTTAAGCCTGGCTGCGTGGTACATGCTTTTCACAGGCTTCAGTATTCAGCCGGGGGTCACAAAAAAGGGTTTCACAGAGGGCCTTGGGTTTGAGCCCGCCATAGATAAAACAGAAAAGTAATTACCCCCTTCTTAGCAAAAAGAGAAATTAATCATTTAGCATTAAATTAATTGCTACAGCACTTTATGCCCTTGGGGTCCTTTTCTGAGCTAGTTTTAATAAATATGAATTTCAGACGGCACAAAATCCAAATTGTGCCAATTTCTGGGAATAAAAATCATGTTTTTTCTATCCTTTAGTGTTTGATTTATTCATAGCTGTTTTGAGAAGTTCATGCATTACAATTTTGGTGTTATTGTCTGCTAAAGATTTTCCCTCCGTTCCTTTTATTGGCCCCATTTCTCCCACACACAAATCCACAAAGCCACAGATGCTCCATTACAATGATGTCAGTCTTGCTACATGCTCCAGCTGTTTGGTAGGTACATTTATAAAGTTCAACCTTTTACATTATGCCATAAATGTATATTTCATGTATAAACATAAAGCTAACATATTGCAGATCACTCTAAGTGTAATTTTAATGGAGGTTCAGTAAGTTTAAAAAATACTGAAAAGTGTTTAATCTTTCCGTTGGCAAGATTTTTATAGTAAGTTTTCCAATATTTTTTTTCTTAGGGTAGGTTTGAATATTCCCTGCCCTCTCCACTATTTCGTCTTCTGTGATCTTTGGAAAAAGCAAGGAGTTGTTTTAGTAAGACAATATGTATTTTAAAGAAAGATGTCTAAGGAAAAATATGTTTCTCTCCACATCTTCTTGGTGCTCAAACCCTCACTTAACGTTCTGTACATTTACCAGCAAACCACGCTGAAAAACACCTTATTCCTGGAATTGTCAGATTTCAGTGATATTTGATATGGCAGATACTGTGCTGATATGGTATATAAATTCTAACAGATTATTTTAAAAATTCATCAAGAATTGGATCCGGACCCTTTCTTTGTGTTGCGTCCTGAATTTCAAAAAAATGCCAAACAGTGCCTGTTTGGCTCTGCCTTCTGCCCCTTTTCTCTATGGTATGTGCTTAAGGGTTCAGCTCATTGAAACTCTGGGCATCCTCTGTGCCCACAGGATCCTTCCCTGGTCTCCCCTGGGTGTTTTCCTTCTTATAAGCCATGTCTTTATTTTTCTCTCTCCTTTTTAGTTGCCTGCTTTGTCTTAATTCAAATGTGGTGCTGGGCTATCACCATATTTGTACCACAAAGTCATCATTATTCTAAAATAAATCTCTCCACTTAGGAAGATTTTGAGGCTCAATCTCTGTTTTGTTGGCTCAGTAATACAATGGCTCTCAAGAGGACAGATGAAAGCTGAGATCAGTAGTTCCTGTTGCTTCAAGTGAGACCCAGAGTGCATCAAGGCCCTAATACCATTGTAGAGGCTAAAGTTTGGGACCATGAGCTCTCAGTACATGACTGCAGAAGAACCTTCCTTATTTTTGGGGTTCAGTTTCATTCCAGACCATAAACACACAGCTGGGTGTACATAATAGAGTGGGCATTGCCCAATGCCTTCTGCTTGTACAAGGTGTGGAGATACAACAAAAAGTTAATGGTACTTGTGACAGTATTACAGGCAGTGCTGACAAGTTCAGAAAACCCTAACAGGACCTGTGGCTCAGAAATGCAGATAATGTCACCGTTATTTGTTTTCTTTTTAATTTGCAGGTCTTTTGTTATCCAGCAAATCCCAAGCAGCAACCTCTTCATGGTGGTAGTAGATAATGAATGCTTCTGTGATTCTGTCCCACCAATTACCATGGCACCTATAGAAATAAGGTATATCCTTTTCTCTACAAATTTGTCAGAAAGAGATTCAAGATGCAAATATTGGAAGATCTTTTATAGTGTAAAACTTGCATTGCATGACATCATCACCCATAAAGTGCTGGGGCTGTTTGAAATGAAGCCAACTAGAATGTGTTCTTTTTTTTTAATGAGAATTCACTTTTTATTTTTTTTAAATGGCCAATATGAATTAAGCAAACACATTATGTGGATCTTTAGGTAGAATAAGGTCATAGTCATCTTTAGATAGCTGAACATGTTACAAATTAGGCCTTAACTGTGTAATTTCCTTATAAGAGTTGAGTTCCTGATATTGGAACTTATAAAACTCTGTGCAATAGAGATACCTCTTTATTTTAGGGTTAAACTGGAGCATTGAAAATATTTCAGAATCCTGCTTTCCAAAAGTATAGCAATGTAACAAAGTAAATATATCACTTGGGTTTTAGTTGCCCCACTTCCTATTTTGTGCTGTTCTGTACTTCAGGATTTGTTTTCTGCCATAAGCTGGAATTTGCCAAAAGCAGCCTGCAGTGTGCTTTTGTTGCACACTTACAGAAAGACAAGTTAGCAGTGTAAGTGCTCGATACTGTTAAAACTATGGAGAGGAAGCACTAGAATTACTTTCTTTTTCTTGTGGTAACCACACATATCACCTTGGGGGTTTGATGGAGAGGGAGGAAGGAGCTAGAAGATTTTCACTGTGTTCATTTCAACATACTTCCATAAAAATGCAGTTCTCAGAACATCCCTCCTTAACTGCCTTGTACATAATGAATCCCTTAAATGTGAACGTTTAAAATCTCAGAAGATAAGACGACGCCCAGAATCTTGTCATGGATTTCACCCTGAAGTAAGTTTCTTTTCCTTTTGGACTCTGGTAGATGTTTCATTTCTTTAAAAAAAAAAAAAAAGTAAATAGGAAAACTATCTTCCAAAATGAAATGTCAGGAAATATTCAGAAAACGCTCAGTATTAAGAGAAGTGAGTTACACTGTAAGTGCTGCAAATGTTTTTTGTGTTCATATTCAATGTCTTGACTTCCTGCTTTAGCAGACTGCTTTGTGTCATGTAAGAGAACGTGGTAGGATATGAGCACAAACAGGCAGCCAGGAATATCTGAGAACTTGCTCTGGCTCGAACATTGACCACAAGATTCCTCATTAGAGATGGTTGGGAACTTTGTGCTGTTAATGTTTCTCTCAGTAACCGGCGGCAGCAGCTCAGCTGTCATGCAATACTCGTTATGTTCATATAATACTGCTTGGGAGGGAGAGTGATCGCTCTGCTACACGTATTTGCTACTCTGTGTTCTGCATAATACTCTTTGTACATGCCGAGGAGATCTCGTAGAGACCGAGATGTGATTACAGTGGCTTGTACAGCGTATGTTCACAGACATCCTTTTTACTCTGGAGTAGCTTTATTTCATGCCTCTGACAGTGTAATGGAATGTAGAATGAGACCCAAAATATGGTGGGGAGGGAATTTGTAATCCTTGCTGAGAATGCTCACTTTCAGTCTACAATCCCCACTTGTTCCACTCAAAAGGTGCACCTGTATTACTTCCTGAGTGTATTTAATTCGTGGATTTTGTTGTTTGCACCGGTGTTCTTATGCCTCTGAAGTTTGGTAAATAATCATAATTGAGTGTAATGGCTTGTATTTATTTTCATTTGTTTGTTTGTTTGTTTTTCTTTAGGAAAATGCAAGGGAATGTGGTGGTGTCTCAGGCCTTAGTGCTAAACCTTCTCTTGTTCTTCTTCCTCTGCTATTGACAATTTTCTCAAGGTGACATTGACTGATGTGTTCAATTGGCATGCTAATCCATGGATAAACTGTGAACTGGGAAATGGTGCAACATAGAGGACATGAAATATAGTCAGAGCATCAGCATTTCATGATTTTAAACTGTTGGTGATATAAATTCCTAAAGATATGTTGAAAAAAGATTTATCTTTTTACTTTGCGAGTCATGCAGATGTGAATTTGGCATATGGTAGTCATGATTCATCAAAAAAGGACTTGGTAGATAGAGGTGACCATCGCTTTGTCCCATTGAAAACAATTTCAGACTGTGTAATTTTTTCAATAAAGTATATTAAAATCACAGTTTCAGAGTGTATTTTAAGTATGCTAATATATATGTTCCAATAATGAATGATGGGAAGAAAATATAATAAATGGAAGATCTTTTATTATGCTTTTAGCCTGTTTCTGAGGAGATTCAGAGAAGAAAATGTGGAGCTTTTACAATAAGGCAGGATAGATTTTATTAACAAATAAGTAAACACCTGTGTGTGTATGAAGGTAACATGTGGTGCTGAAATATAGTGAAGTTTTGGTTTCTGGAAATAGCCATAAAACATCTTATCTGCATTTAGAAAGTGAGCCAAAGCCTTATTTAAGCCTTGTCCCTAACTTGGGCAAGCTTTGGATCAAATGGGTTGATTTGGTTGCAGATGGCAAAAGTAAGTACTTTTCATATGTTTCAATTTATGGGAAGATATGTAAAATAGCCCATATAAAAGGATGACACTGTTCTGTTGGAGTTCTGCCCTTTAGATGTCATGTCAGCTTGGAAAAGCTTGTTATAAGAAAATTCATGAGCAGAAAAAGTTGGTCTTACAACACATCTGTGTCAGCAGAACTCACTATTGTTTTTCACTGGGGCTCTCTGTCAGTGTGCAAAGATCAAGACCAGTATTTTTTTATTCTAGGCCTTATATTCTTCTTTGTAAGGGAAATGAGAAAATAAAGATGAGTATATTCCTCTTGCAATTGGTAGCAGTGTCCCTATTGTGGATATATTTGCTGAAGATCTTGATCTTTGAACTATATTAATCTTTCAGTTTATCGTTGGAGTTTTATATGAAGTAGAATGCTATAAAAATAACATGGCCTCCTAACAATATAATACATTAAATGCAAAATAAAATGCCACTGTTCTAAATCTGGTACTTGAAGATTGCTGTTTCCTGGTTGGGAGTAAATATGCTTTTTAGCCTTAGATAAACGCTAAGCAGATTTTAGCTGGGAATAGGGAGCAAGGCCACTGAGAGGGGCTTTGTGTTAAGGAATACTATCCAGCTTGTAAGAGGAAGAACTAGTAAAATAAAATTTCCACTTCAATGCTTTAATGGGTTCAAATGCACTGGTACTTCCTCTGATTCTGAAACCATACAGGTCTTTGTCTGGACTCTTAATTTTTTTTTCCTCACCTTATTTTTTTTTAGGAGTTTTTCCTACAGTCTTCTCTGTCCTTGCTTGTTGGTCTGAAAATCACTCACTGTGGAATAATTTTCCAGCTGACATTCAGTCAATCTGTTGTCTTAGTGACATGAGCTAAGCTGTTTACTGAGCTAATTGGGAATTCAAGGCATTTTCTCCACTTGGACCCACACAGATATCCTGCCATTCTTTGCTTGTTTTTTCTCTGAGCTCCATTCCCCCTTATCCTCCATCATTCTCTCAAAAACTCAAGTCAATACTTTATAAATAAAGTATTTTAGTTCCTAATTTTCCCTCTGAGTTTCCAGAATGGACAACACCACAGCCTCATAATGCTTTTGTATGTCTGATGCTTGTTCTTTTGCAGTGCTACTTAAATGGGGAAATGTTTATAAGCCACACAATCCAGGTGATTTTTCCTTGTTAGTAGAAAGTGGAAATAAAAATCTTTCTCATTAGAGCTATTGAAAAGCTCTGTATACATCTGTCTGATGTATAAATCATCATTGCTTACAAAGAAAGGAAATGCATTAAAGGAGAAAATTTATTTCTACAGAACATAGATGAAAATGCATAATAATAATTCATTGCTAATTTTTGAAAGAATTGGGCAGATTTTAAATTAGAAAGGAGCAAAGGAGTGACAAGGGAGATTATAATGTAACGGACTAAATTAATATTGTGAAAGAGATTAAAATATGTGTATGTAAGTGAATATTGCTCAGGGAAATGTGACAGTTCATTTTCATCCATTAAGACAGTTATAAAGGCAGAATGCATTGGTGTACACAAACAAGTTACTTTGTGAAACAGAATAATCCAAATAAGTCGTTAAACAACTGTAAAAACATTTTAATGAGTTGCCATTTCTCTGCTAACAAAGACACCTTTTTAATTTTGTGTTTATTCCTTTAGAAGTTTCTCATGCAGCGTGAATCCAGGTTGGTAAAGCCAGTAGTTCAGGAGAAATGGACTTGAGGCCAACTGGCTCAGTGGTGTGTGGATGCACCAGTAAAATCACTTCTCCAAAGTGAAGAGGCTGCAATGCCAACAGCCTGTGTCAGAGCACAGAAACAATGATTATGAGTTCTATGGGACAGAGTTTGCTGACATGGGCTGAAAACATGCCCAGAGCTGGTTGAAACAGTTTTACAGAAAGGCTGATCCCATGCTAATGCATAGGAATGTTCCTGACTGCTGCTGAGTTTACCAGTCTGTTTGTCATCATTAGCTCTGAAACACTGAGAAGGTGTGAAGGTACCATACCATGAAGTGGGTCAGTGCTGTCCATACCCGTGGTAGGTCATAGAAAGTGAAATTAAATTCCATCACCTCGCTAATCATAGGCGCTACTCGTCTTGAATCCTAAAATTATTATGCAAGGTCTGATGCAAAGTCCAGTGTAGTCAAAAGCAAAACGTGTATACATACAGCTGCGTATATGTAAACTACATACATGTTTAATAAAGAGGAAATTCAGACATCTGTATTTTTTAACTCCCTGAATCTGAGGACAAATCCGAGAAGAACCAGGACGAACTGTACAATCAGTTTGCACGCAGCGAGAGGCAGAGCTGAAAGCTTTAGCTTCTGCAGGGCTTGGATCTTTTTTCCTTCTTTACTCTCTTTGCTAATGGCATTGATTTGCAACTTATTAGCCCCAGCTGCCTCATCTTCCTTTAATCTTGATAAAGTGAAAGCTGTCTGGGGGCTCGGGGCTGGCCAAGGACACACCATTTTCTAATGGCTTTGTGTGGGAAAACTGTCCATAACTGTCAGTGCGGCAAACTCTCCTTTAAAATCCTGTAAGCCAGAGAGCCTCAGGCAGGTTTCTGCAGCTGTGCTATCTCCTCTCATTGTTTCTGTGTCACTGAGACTGCCTGACCCACTGTGTTTGGCTGCCAGGGCCAGCTCTGCAATATGTACGCTCAGTGACACAGGTGGTTGCCCAGGGCAAGAAGATATTAAAAGCAGCAGTAATTGTTTCATTGCCTAAATGGCTTCAAGAAACTGTTTCAGTTTTCTGATAGCAGGAGCCCCTAAACAGGGCACTGGTCTGTTTAGCCCTTTGGGTTCACAAGGCAAGCTAGAGGTTTGGCTCAGAAGGTTTGTGGCTAGAAGACTCCAGTTATTTCCACGTGTTTCCTGAGCCTTTTATGGCCTCCAAGGACTTTTATATCTTGGGACTTTCTGTGCCTGAGAAATTCTAACTCATGTGAGTTTAATGTAAATTGGAAAGTTTTCTGTGGAAGAGCGCATCAAAACCTTTCAACCATGGAAAATATTTTTATTTAATTTTCCTACTTGATTATTCTTTTCCCTGAACTGCCCAAGATACTCCCAATAATATGGGCTTTAATATTTAGATGACTTGCTATTTATCTGGTGTACAGCAACGTATTCTCTCTGACAGGTCCAGCTCCCATGTATCTACTGAGAGAGAAAGGGTTCCCATGTACAGCATCTTCAGAATATCTCACTGGAGTTTATCACAATCCAGTCTGAAGTCAATTTTCTTCTCTCTTTACCCTTTGGCCCTTAGTCTCAGATCATATTTCTTCTAATATAATAATATTCTTGCTATAATTCCTTGGGAGGATTTATGTCCTCTTCAACAGTCAGTCTTATGTTTCTTCCCAAGAACACTTTTTGGAACTGGATGTTATAACTTGGATATACCAAGTCATAGTCTATTCTTGTGATTCTCTGAGTGGAAGGATATGTTTCCAACTCTTCCTGTCTTCTTTTCCTTCTTCCCATGGTAACTGTGGTCAACTAAGCAAATGTTATTTTATTGTTTGCACTTCAGTACAAATTATAGTCCACAGTTCTGCCTAGCAGATGCTTTGAAGAATTTCAAAGCACAGTGTTAATCTAGGAAGAACCCATTGATTTTCTTTGGATTAGAGTGGGAACAAGAGGCACTTCTGCATTATGGTTGCTTTGGATCCAAGTTAAAAATGGTAAAACAAAGCTGTATAACCCTTCAGTAAGTAGCATTAACAAAATGTATGCAATATATTTTAAAACAAATGTATCCCTTACAGAACATTTGTTCAGTGCCAGATGGCTGCTTTATGGTCAGTTTTAAGGATGTGAAACTTTGCTTGCAGAATGAGATCCTGTTGAAACTGAAATGAGAGTAAATAAGTCGTACTCTTTCATTGTGAAAGCATTGCATGCCCATGTATGCATATGTTAAATATCTAATTACTGAGGCTTCCTTTAGTTCTGTAATTTTTAAAAAGGCACCTTTAATTAAACATAAAAAAGTAATTAAAGGGTGGTAACTACATTTTTCAATTATTTTCTCCTGAGTCTGATGGTGCCTTACTTAAGAGTAGCCAGTTGAGCTGTGGATTGATTCAGCCATCCAAGTGATAAGATGTTGAAACCTTAAGAAGATAATTTCCCTCTCAACAGTTGTAGCAGATTCGATTGCTCATCCTTGTGGCAGAAATAACCAGGTAATTTTGTTTGTGTCACTCTACCCTCTAACACCTCACCAGGTGTCAAAAGTTCACATTTTTTTTCTCTGCTCTGCTGCTAACAATTTGTGGCAGCATCTTGACTATGCCAAGATTTTTGGGTAATTCTCACAAAATTGACAAAATAGTATTAAAAAAATCAATGCAGTATCAAAATAAGTGGCATGAAAGCAACTGTGTTTCCTGTGATATTTTCATTATTCATTGTAAGTCCTTTGTTATCGTTATATTAAATGGAATTGAGACGGAATTTCCAGTTTGTCATGTCACAGTGCTGCGAAATTCAAGATGCTTTTGAAGAGTTGAGTTCTAGTTCATTCAAGTAGTGCAGAGTCTGGTTATCTCTTACTTGAATTCTTTTATCGAAAGGTTATAAGGAGTTGACAGCTAGTA